TGACGTAGAAGGAAGTCTTATCCATCCCCAACACGTCAAAGACGTATTGGCGCATGTATGCTTCCAACGTGCAGTTGTTGGCCCTCGCGATCATCAAGCCCACAAGCTCCAGCCCGCCACCATATGCGAAGCCGGAGCCGGGCTCAAAGATGAGAGGTGTCGCAAAGCACCGCGTGATAGGCGTGCGCATGAAGAGACTTTCTTCGTTGCGATGCTGCCTCCACTTCACGAGGTCAGCCGCGAGAAAGTCATAACCGACTCCGCTCGTGTGTGTCAGCAATCTTCGCAATGTCAACCTTTCTTTTGCAGGTTGTAAGATAGGTTCATCAGCGTTCCAGCCAGTCAGGACAACAGGATTCTTCCATTCAGGCAGTAAACGATCGGTGTCAGTGGGTTCGTCGAGCGAAAAGAGCCCGCGCTCGACGCACTGCAAGGCTGCGATAGCCGTCGCTAGCTTCGTGCAAGATGCCAGCCATACGGTCGTCTTCGTCGATACTGGTGGCGACGTGGAGTCAAGCTGCAGTGTGCCAAATGCAGCAAGAAAGTCATCCGGTTCCGAAGTATCAGCTGTGAATCACGTTAGCCGCGAACTGTAGGCCATGTAACAGAAACACAAATGACAAGCGAGGTCGCCGACCGTGCGAACGGCTGCGAGCATCCGACGGCTCCGTCGCATATTCCCAGTCCATCTCAACGTGCCGCTCTCAAACGCACGCTAAACTCAACGGCCCTGGCAAGTGTTTTGGCAAAAGAAAGCATGCAAAACCGGACCATACCCTTTCGAAGTGCTCTTGCAGCACCGAGAGCCACACCGGGCAGCAGGCGATCAGGGCCGGATGCAACTGCCGACTCAAAAGCGTCATTGAACGAAGCAGAGGTTGTCATCGGGGTTACTTGGAAGGTACGTAGTGCTTTGGGTGTTTACGGACATCATTTTCGATACCAGACCTTTATATCTAGATGCATGTAGACTGCGCTTATCATTCATCCTTCTGAGTGACTCACAACTGCATCAGTTCCTGCCCGCGGAGCCGATAAAAGGGCGTTGTAGGATTTAGAACGATGCAATAACTATCGTGAGGCTTCAGTCGCTTAGATGCTGACAGAGCGCGTTGCTGTTTTGGGTACTAGGGTGAGGCTGCCATCCTGATTCCGCGACTATTTTTACGTCCTACGGGCGTAATCTTTCTCTTCGACGCCCTTCGCGCTGACTGCCCACGCTGTAGCCGCGGAAACAGGTATCTCGCGACTATCACTCCGACTCCATCGCAGCATTCTATCCTACATAGGTAGCCAGGCCGCTGTTGCGTTTCTCGCGTCCGCTTTCGCTCCAGCTTCCACCCGCCCCCACCTTCCGGTCCCGCACCCCACCACACCACGCCAAGGTTTGATGCACACGAGCAGGGGGTACGAACGCACACTCTGACCGGTACCTGACAGCTCCAGACCTATGCGACTTTACTTTTTTGCTTCAAATTCTCTTGCCTTGCCTTCAATCTTAGAACACACCATGCCTGCATTGTGGACGTGGGCGAATCATTGCGCATGGGGAATGACGGCATACCACATCTCCTGTCATCTCCGCGACTAATTCTCGGACCTATCCATTTCGCATCGTTACAGATGCTGCGAAGCTGCTGATCCTTCTAGTGTTCCCAATTCGGAGGGGACTGCATACACTTGCCACCGTATGCAAACTTGTCACAAACGGGTCCTCGACACCACTTCATCGTACACCGGTCACGGCTGCGGGAGAATTGAGCTCGATAGCCGACACGATCACGTACGATGCAGACGGTATCGATCGAAAAGGCGCCACTCCGGACACATTGTTGACAGGGACCACCGTGGCGGGAGCGCCCGACCGCTGCAGATTGGCTCGAGCCCTGTTGGTTACGCATGTTTGACAACCCGTACGCGAGGAAACCCAAGGTCGGACTCGCGTTTCGTCAAACCCAATACGTTGTCGTGGTCAAGCAGGGCAGAGTCCTCGGGTCCACTACCGGCCACTAGAATTCCGTCAACGTCCCTTGATCATCCCAGGATCATGAGTATACACGCATGCAACATAATTCAGCGTAAACGACCTGTCCAGGTTTCAAAACAGGAGTGTGACAAGGCCTGAAGTGCAACTGCTACTCACTGCAGCAAGTCTGCTCTGTACTACCAATCCAGATCACTGACGCATAATGGGCACACTAATGCCAGGAGCTGAGATCGTGTTGAGTATTATGGCAAGAGATCTCGTTTTTCTCACCGATCAGCATCGTATACTAACAACGACCACGCGGTCTATCGCATACGGAGTATATCCCATCTCCGCGTCGATGCTCGTATATGCGGGTGGGTACATAGCCGGGCAAGCTCTCGACTGCCGTTATGCGCAACTCAACGGTCGTCGTTCCCAAACGCTGTATTGGTCGACTTTTGGTATTGTTTTTTGTGGTCGGCCCACTTTTGACAAGCCTTGGCGGATGTCTTACGCCCCCATGCTCCTCTCCCATTTAACAGGTTTGGTACTTCAAAAAGCCACCATGCACAAATGGTAGGCATCCCTTCACTCGAAAAGCCGTTGTTCAATTGTCTCAAACTTTGACAACGTTCCACGCACCATACAACCTTACGAATCATCTACACAATGCCTGGTGGCATAAACCCTCCCATCGAGGTCAAACTGAGTTGGCCAACACCAAACTATGTCAACCCTACACTTCGACCAAACGCCATCCTCTGGATTGCGTGTGTACTTGGACCTATTACCGTCGTTATGACTCTTGTACGGTTATGGGTCAGAATATTTCATCAAAGATGCCCCGGTTGGGATGACTGGTTGATGCTGGCTGCCATTGTAAGTTGCTCATGATCACTCATCACGGCTACGCTAACGACCCCAGGCCCCGGTGATCGCCTTGACAGTCATATATCCCCTAGGTAATATCTAAGACCAGTTCACTGCTATCTAGCTAACGCGTTCAAGCAACCAATCAAGCGTTCGACCGACATATTTGGGACCTAGACTACCTCTTCGAACCGGAAATCATCGTTAACGCACGGAAATACATTCTCGCAACCGAATGCGTTTTCTGTGTTGCAACTGGCCTCGTCAAAGTCTCCATTCTTCTATTCTACCGACGTCTCTCGGCCCGGGCCGTGTCGAAGACATTCGTATGGGTGACGTGGGCCACTATCGGCTTCATCATTGCCTACACCATTGCCTTGACCTTGGCACCTATCTTGGGCTGCCAACCGATCTCAGCATTCTGGGATCAGGTAAACATCATCAAGAAGTTACAAGGTTATGAGTTCCACTGCTTCGACGAAGGTGCCGACGTCTTTGCTGCCAGCATCATATCTTGCGCCCAAGACGCCCTGACCGCGGTTCTTCCCACATTCCTCTACTGGAATCTTCAGATACCGATTCGACAGAAGCTTGCGTTGTTCGGTATATTTGCCATGGGTTACGGCGTCGTCGCACTGGGAGCTGTGCGGGCCTACTACAGCTGGTATACCTTCTATGGCACTTACGACGTGACATGGCACACTTGGAATCTATTCCTTACTTGCATGCTTGAGCTGTACATCGGATGCTTATGCGCCAACGCTCCCGCCATGAAGGTCTTCTTCAAACACTTCTTCCAGGAAAAGCTCAGTCAGCGATCCAAGACGAGAACACCAGCCGGTACCGATGATCGCCAGGATAGTGCGCAAACCAAGTCGAAGAACTCGTGGAGGAAGTTCGGTGCGAGCATTACAGGCGGAAGCTGGGCCAACAGCACCAAGGGATATTACGATTCTCACCTTGGTACGACTGTCGACCCGCATGGAGGTGTGCATGTGCACAAAGAGGTGCAAGTGACCATGTCGCCAACCAGCTCGGCGATGCCGACACCCACTGGCATTGACCGCCCTGTGTCAACTATGACAGCCGACATGATCTGCGACCCCGATTACGAGGACATCGAGTTGGGTCGTTACACCACAGGCCACAACTCGCGAGCATCGAGCGTGCGATCGACTCATCTCTTCGAAGGGCACGACTTGGAGGCACTTCCCCCATTACCGATGTCACCTGCATCGCCAAACTCGCCAGCCAGCGGTGCTCCCCTGTCATCGCATCCTCTCTCACCCACACAGAAGAGGTTACCCATAACACCCCTACCGGGTACCGCGATAAGTCAGGAAAACAGGAGGGAAAGAAGTCCCACACCAATGCCCCCACCGCCGAACGCGCGCCAGTCACCATACCCCCCACGCGGTTCAAGTCAGAAGAAGCCAAGCTGGCAGTCGTGGTCTTGAAGCATGCCGCGCATGCCGATGTTCAGGCCCTTATGTCGACCCATACACACGCACGATATGAAGCATCGCGTAGATCGCGCAAAAATTTCCTTGTCTTTCCTTGTACTTGCAGTGTCGCTGTAATGCCGCTGCAATGTCGCTTTATGATACCATGTTCGCTCTCTGGCGCTACTATAGAAGCATGTTTATATGCATCAATATATTTATACCCTTACAAAGCTTCATGCACACTGCCACCATCGTTCTCGATTAACAAATTCGATGTTGCGACGCTTGCTTCCACCGATCTTGGTCGCAGATGGGGTCCCGATGATGACGACTTACACCAACGCGCTGCAACCTCGGCATGCAGACGAACCATGTCATTCACGTCAAGATTTAACCGTACGTCAGAAAAAGAAGAAGTAAAATTATGTGCACCTCGAGACGAATATGTAAAGTAGGTTCTAGGCCCATCATCTATTAGCCGAAAGAAGAAGGTGCATCCTCGCTACTTTTTGTTCGGAATTAATAACCCGGCTATTCCGATTCCGATGAGGCGGCCACCTTGAATCTCGCACACGGCCCGGGGAGCACTTTCAACATCCACGCCCTATCGCACGTAATGACTCAATGGCGTTCTCCAAAATTAAAACGCGTTCTCCACCAAAGCCTGAATCTCTAAATCGGTCAAAAGTAATCAAAAGGTTCATTCCACCCGCATGATGGCAACAAACCTTTCCCCACCAACGCTTTTCACACCCTCGGAACTCAAATCGAATCCAACCCTATCAAAATCCATCACGCAACTCGTCAACAAAGCGTTCTACCGTTCGTATGAACGAGATACGGCGAAATGGGATAATTCGGAATCGCGCTTTAGCGATGAAGAGGGGCTTCATATGCTGCTTAGTGGGGCGGGCAGCGTTATCGCATTGATCTTTGACGATGCGGCGAGCGCGAACGAGAACGGTAGCATCAATGGCGAAAACACAAGCATCAATGGCGAACAGAGCAGAAAGGTCGTCGCATGCGCCTCCCTCGTACCCTGGAAAGGCGGATGGGAAAAAGAAGGCTCCGACACAGAAACAGGCTGGGAAGTCAAAATCGTGTGTGTTGACGGAGATCCACAGTACCACCACCGTGGTCTTGCTATCCAACTCCTCAATTTCCTAGAGCAATATCTCATCGTGAGAGAAACTATTCGGCTCGAACAAAAGGGACTGCAGGGCCAACGCGTGTTGAGCGTTTGGATCCTGGCTGCTGAGTGTCTCAACGGCGCGTATTGGCGTAAGAGAGGGTATGAGGTGGTAAGGAAGAAGACGTGGGGGCCGGGGACTTGGAGTTGCAAGACGAGTTTTGATATGGTGGTTTTGAGGAGGGATGTTACGTTTGGGTTTGGGAGTGGGTCGGCGGTGGGGAGATAGGAGAACGTCATGGACCAGCATGTTCCCAGTCGGGCTTTGGAGACGCAGTCGCCATGCTCATGTTGAACGTCAGGCCTGTTGTCGCGTAGAAATCTCGCAGTCCCGCTCGCCGCAGATCAGGCAAATAACAGCGTCGTGTCTTGCTGCCCAGGATCATGAATTCGCTTGGTTGCTCCTTGAATACGAGCTCGATTTGTAGATCTGTCCAGACCGCCCATGAGTGAAGCAAGACCTCATCTAGCTCTTTCCCCATGCACTGTGTCCAGGCGTCATTGTCGAAGCCCATGAAATGCACGAGGTCCTCGACGGCTGTAGCGACGCGCTCGTCAGTCATGGTATCCTCGCTGTTATGTTTCTCTTTCACAGCGTGCCAGTCGATCTTCGGGTCCAGGGTAAACAGGCAGGTGAAGTCTTTACGCCGGAGTCGCATCTTCAGTAGCGGAAGGACATTGAGCGATGGATGTAGCACTCCGGGCACTCGGGGCACGTGGATCATGCCTTGCAAAACGCCCGCCCTGTAAGCAGCGATCTCTGAATTGTTCCAGGGAGTACCCTTGGATCTTGGCTTCGAAAGAGAGGGTTCATTGCAGATGGTCTCGTCGATGTATACGGTGATCGACTTCGGCGTGCGGGTGGACATCCACGTGTGACAGAAGTACTCAACATCCAACCAGTCTAGACCGACTTCCAACGTGGCAAAGAGGTGTGAGAGGAACTCTTTACGCAACTTTTGACACACGTGTGCGAGTGGAAAGATTGGAGCAGGAGTAGAACTTGCACCGAGCGAAGATGACTGAATTCTTAGAGCGAAACGCCGGACGCAGCCCTCGTATTCGGCAGTCAAGAACTCATAGACGGAGTTGCGAAGTTCTGCGATGACGTCAGTGTTATTGCGACAGGCTTTGCGATCTAATGAATTTACCTGCAGGCAGGTCGAGGAAGCGGAAGGGCTCGGGGAGTGAGCGTCGCGTTCTCATGTTGACTAGCGACAACGCTGTAGGAGTTGAAATGAGTTTCTCCAGATATCTTCAGTAGTTATCTGTGAAACGGGATTGTAAGATCAGAGAGGAGGAGAAAGAGGGAGTCAGCAAGTTACAGACAGTCATCAGCGTGGTGGTCCGTGGTGTGAGTACCCACGCCGGGTAAACGACACCGGGGTCCGCGTGACGCGTGTATCTGGTGAAAGTAAAGACTTGAATAGCTACCAAAGAGAGGAATAAAACCGAATGATTCAAAGGATTGCTTAGCCTTAAGGTTCTACTAGATCTAATCGTTACGTTAATGGAGGCTGTAGCTCATTTGTCATCTTGTTCAGTTTCCTCATCCTGTCAATTATGTGCGTGGTTTGACTGGACGAATATGATTGGTAAACCAATGCTAGTACACCTTGAAAAAGTGTTTCAAGGCTCAAATTCCAGTGTAGGAAAGGCCGAGAAAACGCTCCATGTCCAAGCCTCGAAAAGTCCAACGCTCTTAAAGTATAGCTCTGTGAGTGAGTATTGTCCGCTCTCGTCGCACTCAGGGCTGAACAGCGAATAATTCATGTAGAATTCAGCGTGAGGAGAACCGTAGACACCGATTCTGGAAAGGATGATTCTCTTGATAACACCAGTCGCGATTTCGCGCAGCCACTTTTCGTTCCGGTTGCACACCACCTTCTCTAGGGAACCAGAGTCTTCATTGACAAATTCCGCGAAATCATCCGGATCGTATTTCCCGTCTTCAATCACACGGTTCATGATAGTTTTGTCATGGACGAAGCGACAGGTGAAATCTGGTCGGCAGAGCCCGACCTTGATGATCGGTAGCAAGTCGAGTTTAGATCCGTCCCCTTCCTCTTGTCCGCGCCACGGAGTCACAACTGTTATGCCTTTCGGTACAAGCTCAGCATTCTCGATCTTGCCGTCAACGTTCGGATAGAAATGGTGCAGGTAACCGGTGACCGCCTTCCAGTCAATGATGATCTCTCGCTTCATGCAGACGGGCCGGTACTCAGTACGCAGCTGTTGACATGTCTGCGCAAGCGCAAGACACGGCAGTATGCAGCGAGGTTGGTCGGCTTCGGTCTCAGCAACGAAGTCATAGATACAATTGCGCAACTCTATTACACACATGTCAGCCCTAACATTTTGCCTAGAGAGGGTCGCGCCTACCTGCTGGTAGATCCAAGAAACGAAAGTGGTCTTCGCGGTCGCGCCTGCTGACAGTGTCGCGGGCCATTTTGGGAGTGGACTGAAGCAGTGCCGAGGGTGTATGGCGGGGAGCATGGTAGAGGAATGATGCAGTGGATTGAATGCGAAGGTAGAACGGTAGAGTGGCCCTTGCTAGCGCTGCGCTATCTAAGTAGTCGCCTAACGCGATCCACATTCACGTGTCTCCACGTGACAAAGAGTGAAATGCGCCCAAACATATGATTTGCGAAGCGGGCCGCAAGCTACGTGATCTGTATGCTTTCGATAGCATCTATACAAGTACATAAAGTCTGTAAAGGTTTTTGACGATGACAATACAATGTATGACCGCAAGCTAGCGTGAGATATCGACGCCCAATCTGATCACTCTCTGACTCTATTCTTTCTCTACATCTTCCGCCCGGCTCGAATTGTTGAAATTACGCACATCAATACCTTCAAATGCAACGTCACGATAAACCCCAGGCCAATCTTCAGAACTTGGCATGTTGTAGAGCCGTCTTATCTGATCCATGAAAGCTTGCCCTTCCCGGTCCAAGGTCATATCGACACCGTGGGGTGTATGCCCCGGCTTGTACCACAAGTAGAACCTGCCATCGTGATGAAAGCACAATTCAGAGATTTTGGATGCTTGGATATCGTGTCTCAATGCAGGCGACGTATTTTCCACGATGTCCGTTATGAGCTCACAGTTATACTGGGAATAGAATTGCTCTTCGGTATCTGCGGGACCGGGGATGACGCTGACCTCGGTCTCCGGGGACACTATCTTAACTTCCAGGAGAGGTAGTATGTCCACATTCGTGGATGGCGGATAAAAATAAATGACGCGCGAGGGGTGTTGCCCATTGAGTACGCGCTGGTTCGTATTGTCCGACGCAAAGAACGCGTTCGTGAACCTCTTGATGTCTTTGTCTCTGACTGTGAAGGAGACGTTTTGCATCCAGATCTTCCTGAACTCATCTCGAATTTGTCGGCAGACTTGTGTGAGACTGATGGTGCGTGGGTTACCAGGCTTGAGCATGATGTTGCGCGGCGGTGCCTCGGCCGCGTATTCATAGATGCGGTTCCGAAGTTCTGAGGTCTGACGTTAGTGAACCTATTTCATCAGATGAGAAAGTGCTCAGAGTATACCTGCAGCGAGGTCTAAGAAGCGGAAGTGGTGTCCATTAGTTGGCGCGGAGGTGATTGGAGCATCGTGGAGTCGCATGGCTGCGATTGCGTCGCCAAAAGCGGTGGTATAGGACGCGATAACCTGATCTATGAATTGCCGAAGGTGTTGCTATCCTGTATTCGAGACCTTCATCGACGCGGAGCGTGTAGGAGTCGGCGAGCGTACCGGCGTGCCTGGAGGTCTCGTGTTCAATCAGGCAACCAATCCCGCGCTAACCCAAAACGTCCATTGCCCGCGGCCCCACTTGCCACGCGTGCACCTCATACAATAAGTGAATTGCACAGGTGCGCCGTAGGCTACATTAGTCTACAGATCAAAGTCAACAAAGCCCAAAGGTAATGTCAACTTCCCGGCTACGTTCCACTTCTATCCAACGCTTTTCATGTGCTGAATCGCACTGTCTCCCACCTGCATCATACTGGCACCTCATACAAGAAAAAGCTGAACAGGTTTGCAGACTACATTAAGCTAAAACCTTGCAAAGTAGGTGACCTGACGTTAACGCAGGCTCCAGGCTGTTCAGTTTTTTCTAGGCCGGCGTGCTGGTGGAGAGCCTTTCATACCATTATCTCGTCCCATAGGCCGTCAAGACCGGTAGTACCCGTCGTTGAGGCGAGCTGCTCGCTGAACTTAACTTGAACATCCACGACTTCTTCCGGATATGGCATAGTGATGGCTACACTCTTCACCTCGTACTCCTGTACAGCAACGCGCCACTTCCGCTTCGCTTCCTTGACTAGCGCAGTGTCTTCAGTTCCGAGACGTGTACAACCACCATACTGTACCAGCTTGGTGATGGAGACTCCGGCGGGAGCACAATCGTCGAAATGGATGATGCGTACTTCCAGTCCCTTGAAGGCCAAGCCCAATCGCACTAGATGGATGATCTCTGTTGGTCGATCGAGCGTGCAGTCGAAAGCCGTCTCGTACTGAATAATGAGCTTCTTGGGACCGCTTCCATACTCTTCTTCGTTCAGGTAGAAGCTCTCGAGGAACGCGTGGACAGAGTGCCAATCGATGACGAACTTGGCGCGTTCAAGCCACATTGGTCGGTACTCGGAACGTACCTCGCACGTGGACATGCTAGATCAGTACGTGTCTCGTATCCATCTCGCATGATAAGTTACTTGGCGGGAGACTTGTGTCAACGCGATGCCTGCGGCGCCGCGATCACGAGGTCCATGGACTGGTGTGAGTAGCTGAGAGGGTACCTCTGCGACAGCGTACTCGTAGATTTGATTGCGGAGCTCTGGATGGACGTCAGTCTTCCGCTTTGCGACATTTCGCCATATATGTACTAACCTGCTGAGAGACGCATAAAGTCGAAAATACCTGTTGGAGTATACGCGACCTTCTTCGCTCGCGGAAGGCGACTGCTGGACAGGACTTCGTCGTTACGGCGTCGTTTCAGGCGAAGCATCGAGAGCTCGGGCGTGTAGCGATCCATAGTGACGTTCTGGACGCTGCACAAGTACTGTTGGAAGCTTTTGTTGTTGTTATTGTTGTTTGCACACGGATGCGAGATACGGACCGTAAACATTCAGGGTCTCGCGTTTGCTGTGACGTCACCTACCTAGGTAGTCTACAAAAGCGTTTGCATTCACGGTTTACATTCACCGCCGAAAAAAACAAGAACCCTATGAGATCAGAGTCGTGTAAAGATGATCCTGATGCCTCTGACAGTCTCTGGCCGGATATTCGCTTGACCATGCCCTGGTGCACTTGCATGTCCGCTCGATTGGGGACAGCGCTTACCCCAGCCCCACAACTGCGCCTTGTGCCGGTGTGCTATACGAACTACAAAGAGTCATAGCTCTGGCCCAGGTTGCTGTGTAGCATCTCCTGCCTGTCATCATGAAAGATGTCATCAAAAGATCACCCCGTGAGCCTCGCAATGCCAGATACCATCGACTCCGATCATTCGTCGCCAAGGAGTACTCACGGCCAACTGCTACACATCTTCAGGAAGATGAAGAAGCGCCGGAATGTACCCAAAACCACTCCGCCAGCAAGCGACCCAGAGCCCATCACATCAAGGCTTCTACTGTTACCCGCTGGTATGTCGCCACAACAACATATGCGTACCCCACCTAACACACCCCAGAACTCCGCAACCAAATCTACAAATACGTGCTACTATCCCAACACCGCCCCATCGAGCTCTTCAAATCACCCGTCCTCTACAGCTCATGGAGCCACAGCACATCCGCTTGGTTCCGCATGATAAAACCAAGCCAAGTATGCCGGCAAATGCGCAAAGAATATCGACCCTTGGCCCTCCGCCAACAAGAGCTCACCATCAGCATCAAACCCTGGCTCCGCTACGTCGACTTTGTATACGGGCTGTTGAGGCCTGTAGCACACGTGCCTAGACGGATTGATCTGGTTATCGAGGATCCGTTGGTAGAGCGACTTAGACTTGATGTACTACCTTTGCTGCGGATTCGGCATTGTAGTTATCCCGCTGGAAGAGCGTCGATATCGTTCAGGCCGTGTCATAGCTATCTGAAGCAGCCGACGACGATGAAGGTGCAGCTAGACGCTATCTTGGGCTTTGACGACGCACGTTGGGTGACTTGTATTGGAAGCGGCGATGTCGCGGAAGTCGTGATTCATGCTGGAAGAGGGAGTCTTGACTACGGCGTGACTATAGTGAGGGTTGTGGTCGTGTTTAAGAGTGGGAAGGCACCTGGGAGGCTTACGAGCGAGGTTATTGTTCCCGAGGTGATGGTTCGCGACGAGGGATTTGTTGATAAGTTTGCGGAAAGTATGGGTTGGATGAAGAGAAAGGGACTGGATGTTCATGCTTCGATAGAGGGGCATTGTAAGAATGTTTGGCCACTCCGGCCGACGAAGTATTTGTCGAGATGGACATGAGATCGGGAGTGTAGAGGTATATTGTAAAGTGCTATCTATTTCGAAAGGTCGTGGCACTGAGTGCGTCTACTTCCATGTCGACGCACCCGACCTGAGACCACACAGGACGTCGTAGTATAGCCCCTTGCATTGTGAAAGATGAAACACTGGGTGATAATCCAGGACACCTTGTCATAGGTTCCAAAGACGACGCCAGGCTGCCTCGGCGCATGTCTCAGCTGTCAACCAAAGCTAGCATATGAGTACCATCATCCCCCTTTGCCCTCTGCATACTACTCACAATCGCCAAAACCAACTTTTAGTCTTATCCTTATCATCGTCGAACCAAAAACTGTGCCGATACCCGTATGAACGCTCCTGGGGGTTCGGGTCAGGGTATGCGAGCCTAAATTCACGTATGCCACGCGTAGGCTGAGCTGCTTCATTCCACATCTCGTAAGCCGTAGGCTTCCACTTCCTAGCCATGTGTTGATCCATGGTGATTCGGAGTGCAGAGCTGTGAAATCGAACCCGGAGCCTCATTTCCTTGATCGAATTGGCCATCTCGCGCCACTTTGAGTGGGATTGATCAGCGAATAACGCGAGCATACTGTTCACCTGTGCGATACAAACTCCGTTGTTGTGTTTCTTCAGATCCTTCTGGAGTTCGAAGGTAAAGCGGAGCTTTGGTGAGCGCGCGACAAGCGAGACTACGCGCGCGATGTCTGCATCATAGAACTCGTCTACATCCATATCCTCGTCGCGGCCATGTCCAACTACGCTGATGATGTGTCCACGGTAGCGCAGCATCGTGGCCTCATCGCTAGGCGGATAGAAATCGCGGATGTATCGGGCGTAGTGGTAAGTGGATTCTAGGCGGAACGCAGTTTCAGTCATGTAGATGATATGGAACTCCTTTCGGATTTGCCGACACGTCTGTGTAAAGCAGCGCCATCCTCCTACCGGTTTGATCGGGTCATCGTGACGGAGACGCAGTGGGACGGGGTCTGCATCGATGCAGAAGCTGTATATCTTATTGCGTAGTTCTGTAGGTACTGACTTAGCTAGGTTCTGGGTGGTTGGGAGGACGTACACACCACCTGGAAGGTTCAGAAAGCGGCTGTTTGATGCGCTCATGGTAACATCCCGCATCTGCGCTTCTACGGAGGCCATGAGCGGATACTCCTCGTCGATTTCTGAGTCGCTGCTGCTAAAGTTAGTCCCGGATGGCTGAGTGTGAGGGTAACGTACATGTGTAGGTGATCCATCTACCAGCTTGTGTCGTGTGTGTGAGAAGAGTCTGTGGTGAAGTGAGAATAGAAGGAAGCGCCTGACCAGGTGAACCATGGTACGGCTGCCAAGCAATAAGGTAGCGCGTGTTATCGGGTACCTGCATGTACTGTGGGGTCCGCGGGTGCGGGGCTTCACCTTCACGTGAGATACGTAATCAACGAGCAAACGCGCTTGACTGTTTGGGAAGTGGTACGTTCTTCTACGAAATTGGTTCCTTCGAAATTATGGACCCTCGCAAGAAACACGACCCAGAATGTCTACCTATATGCGACCCAAATATTGTTGGATGTCAACACGAATGCGCTAGTCGCATAAGGTTTGAATCAAGCCCGCGGTGCGGAGTGCTCGTACAGCCTACCAGTGCCGTCCTTGAAAACGACAGCAAACGCGTCCATAGGCGGTGCACCCATCTCATTCAATGCCTGCCGTGGGTCACCAAAATGTGCCATAAGATCATCTCCCACCGAGCATGGGAGAATGAGGGTGATTTCAGGCCGAGTGCTGCACGTGATCGCAATCCTTTGGATACGCTTCATGTGCGGACGAAAAGCGCCGGACGAGATAGTAGCGAAGAAGTCGTTGACGAGGCAGCCGAGACGGAGGCACGCGCTGGCGTCTGTGAAGCTGACTTTGAAAGCGGGATTCTTTACGCAAAGATGTATGAGTGGTGTCGCGTCGTATTCGTGGCCAAAGTACGTGAT